ACCCTCGCACAGGCAAAATCGCTCAAAATCTTACCCCAGGCCAGCCCACCCCTAGACCATCACACCCATGCCGTCTCAATGCCCCCTCGGCGTCGTCGTCCTTGCGCCAGGCGGGCGTCGCGTTCAGGAACGCGAGACACCAGGCCGCGAAGGTCGGCGCGGAGAGGAACGCGGCGACGACGACGACGCCAAGGCCAAGCACGACTCGCCCGCGCGCAAGCGCAGCATCTCGGGCTCGGGCGACGACGCGGCATGAAGACTTAGGCTATACTCGCGCGTCGAGGCGCGCGAGGTTCTGTATAGCATTCTCGTGGCCCTTGGCAGCGGCGCGCTCGAACCAGTACCTGGCTTTGCCGAGGTCGACTTCCGTGCCTGCTCCGTCCATGTAACAGCAGCCAAGGCTATTCTCCGCATAGGTATAGCCTTGATTCGCCGAGAGCGCGTAGTACCGGACCGCCTCTTCAAATTTCTCCTCAGAATCAAGTAAAAACCCTAATCTGGATTGCCCGCACGCGTCGCCCCGATCTGCGGCCGCGCGATACAGCCGCTCCGCCTTCTTCTTGTCCAGCTTGACGCCACTTCCATGCTCGTAAAACTCCCCAAGAAATACCATCGCCCGCACATTCCCGAGCTCCACGGCGCGCCGGTAAATCTTCGCTGCTTTCTTTTCGGATTTCACGAGGCCCAACCAACCGCGTTTGTACACACTTCCCAAACACGTAATCGCTTCCGGCACCTCGTTCTCCACATGGCGGCGAAGACGCGCGAGTTCTTCCGCAATGTCCTTCGCGCGCGGTACACGACAGAGGGGACACGCGGTTTCGATCTTGTGCTCGCAGGTTAGGCAGACCATCCGGCAGCAACAGATGCGAAACACGCCCGGAGAATTGACGTCCCAGTCCTCGAGGCAGATCGGGCACCGCGACCCGAGCCGTGCCGACGTCGGCTCCCGCTCCGGGTTCGCCTCGCGTCGCACGCGGGCCGCCTCGTGCTCCGCCGCGATGCGCGCGCGGACCTCGTCGGCGTGCGACCGCGGCGCGGGGCCGTAGAACACGTCCCGCGGCGGCGACGGCGACGGCGTCGGCGCTTCCGCCCGCGCCGCCTCCGCGGCCTGGATCTTCTTGCAGACCTTCCGGTGGCCCCGATCGCGCCAATCGATGCGTTGGCAGTCCGTCGAACAGTAGGCCGTCGTGCCGCACCCTTTGCACGCCTTCGCTTTGTCGGCGCCGCAGATCGTGCAGGTCTTGAGAGTGTCGAGTTTTTTGCCCCTCGCTCGGGCCATGCGAGTCTCATACTCCAACTTCTTCTCCTGCCACGACATGACTCGGTGCGCGTCCTTGCGACGGCGTCCTCGTGAGCCTCAACAGGCAAAATCGCTCAAAATCTTAGCCCCGGGCTAAGCCCACGCCTAGAGCGCTCATGTCGTTCTCCATGCCCCCCTCGGCGGCGTCGTCGTCCTTGCGCCAGGCGGCCCTCGCGTTCACGAACGCGAGGCACCAGACCGCGAAGGTCGG